GGGGGGGGGACTTGCGGTGTGTTGTGTGGGTTGCCTACCTACCAGGCGCGCACACGCCTATAGGTAATCCGTGGTGCCTCGCTGACCGTGCACTTTTTTGAGGGTTTGAAACTGGGATTTTAATGCAAAAAATCATCTTTTTAATATCTTATTAATGACATAGAGTTGTTCTACTGCATTTATTACAGAATTCCGAGGGGTGTGGAACTGGTCAAAAAAGTGTGCACATGATTGTGTCCACACAATCATTGTTTCAGATTGTGTGTGATTGTGTATGATTGTGTCTCTAATTGTTTCTGATTGTTTCACATTGTTGAGTAAATATTGGGACATAATTTTAAAAATTGTGTCATGATTGTGTCCGATTGTGTGCGACTGTGTCCGATTGTGTGTGATTGTGTCGATAGTTTTAGATTGTGCGTGATTGTTTCCGATTGTGTATGATTGTTTCTAATTGCAATTAGCCCACCTTCTCCTGCTGCGCTACGGTGGGAAAGTACTAGCCTGACCGAGCTAACAAGGAGGCTTAGGCAAGTGTAAATTCCCGATCTTGTCTAAACTCGGTATATATGTTTCTTATCTATATTGATGACGACTGGCGGTAGTAGTTTTTCCTGAGAGTCAATTTCTGGGGTACTTTAGGGGAGCAAATAATGGAAAAAATGTTGAATTTGGGCAAAAAATGACGGAAGGAGGTCTCAAATCGAAAAGTGGTAGAGGAACTACCCCCCCAAAACCACTCATTTTGAGTCGGAATACCACTTAAAATTTGTAGAAAAGTAGAAAATTGTATTTTTCGAAATTATACGCTGTTATAGGGAGTTTCGACATATGACTCTCAGGAAAAAATTTGGTCGGCATTCGTCACCTACATAGATAAGAAGCAAATATACCGAGTTTGGGCACGATCGGGAATTTACACTTGCCTAAGTCCCCTTGTAAGCTGAGCCGGGGTGGCCGGCGGGGAATTGGGTTTGTTAGTGAAAGTATGCCTCGTTTTTAGTTTTCGGTGCAGCTATGGTAAAGTAGTGATAATATGACGTGTGACGGAACACCTAAAACGACATCGGCCTAGGCACCCATGCCAAAGCGTTGCGCGGAGCGATAGCGGAGTGCAACGCTGCATTGACAATACCATTACTGATTTTCTGTTAGTTTAGGTTTGCTTGCTTCTATTTGAATATACCGTTACTGATTTCCTGTATTGAATTAGGTTTGTTAGTTTAGGTTCGCTTGCTTCTATTTGGAAACACCATTACTGATTTTCTGTATTGAACTAGGTTTGTTAGTATAGGTTTGCTTTCTTAAGAGCAAAGACGGCACGCACAAATTTAGTGAGGTTTGTTAGTTGGTGACTTAGCGCCTTCAAACCAAAAGTGGTACTCGAGTCGCTATCAGAGCGAATATGACGATGATGTGATGTGATATTGCGTGTGATTGTTTCGTGATTGTGTGTGATTGTTTCGTGATTGTGTGTGATTGTTTCTGATTGTTTTTCCCGGTGTACACATATTGTGTCCAGTTCCACACACCTCGCAGAATTCAGAACACAAATTGAAGAACATCTGCGCTTATGGTAGAAAAACGAAGGGGGGGGGGAGGCTTCGCCCCCTCCTGTCGGATTTGGGGGCGGGGGGAGCATTTGGCCCCCCTTGCCCCCCACTTCCACGGTCCCTGAATATTTGTGTGAGTTATGTTGTAAACAAATGACACGTCGAGAAACTTCGCGCACGTATTCTTAACACACTCGCATAAGTGAAGCAAATGTGTTTCTTTGTGGTCGAAATATTTAACATTGTACAAACATAACGTTCAGAACACCCCACACTAAACAATATTTTGAACCAGCTTTTTTTACAAGAAGTGTTAAATGACATGTTCACAGGATACCTTTACGAAATTTTGGGGCTACTATTTTTCTCCTTCCCAGCCAGAGTGTTTTAATTCTCCCTCATGTTACGTAAGTACTATATCTTCATGAATACGTGCTCCTGCTTTTGTCATATGGTGAATAAGCACAGCAGGACATGTTTGATTACTAACTTGTAATGTCTATGGACATAACGTAATATTGAACATATTTTCCAGATAATGTGCTTTACAGCTGTGCAAGCTTCCCCGCCAGCTGTCTGCTCTGCCTTCATAGTTAGCAGCATGGAACCTGCAACACCAGGAACATCAAAGTTCTCCTACTTCTGTTACCGTAGTGGGCACATCTGAAACTCAAGTGTCTGAGGTGTTTGAGGTGACTTTATTTGAAAATGATGTTTACGAAGCTTTAGTTGACAATAGTGTGACTCTATTTGAAGATGATGGTTGTGAAGTCAACATTGACAATGATGTGAATGCGGCCTGAACCTGGTTGCCTCACCTGGATTTTGGTTTGAGCATTTGTGGGTCATCTCCGGGCCTTAATTCCTGTTTGCAGGTATGTGTTTGCTCTTTTTCAATACTGTTGAAAATTGTTTTGTGGTATACTTATTTGAAGTTTTACATCATATAGGTTTGATGCACACCCCACCTTTTATAAGAAATCTTTTGAAAGAGTCAAAGGAGCATGAATCCAGATGTTCGATACTAAATTGCTTGTTACGCAATTTTTTTTTTATGAAATAAGGTTGAAGTATGCTGTCCTTACTGCTGTTACCGGTATTAGCAATTTGGTTTTTATAAAGTTTTAAATTTAGTTTGATTAGGTTGATTTAGTTTGATTTTGCCAATTTCGTCTGCCAGGAGCGAGCCGCGCGGCCCGCGACGTTTGAGGCCCTGCAGACGCCCGGTCAGTCGCGATCTCGGACTCACCATGTCGAATGTGAAGTAGGACCCTTATGGTCACAATTTAAACCCGAGACGTCTCCTCTGACCCCACCGTGTCAGCACGGCAGAGCCAACAAGATAGCGGGTCGCCACGCGCCAATTTCGAGCCCGCTCAGAAAATCGGTATGCGCATCGGGTAGACGTTATCGCACAGAGCCCAAACTTTGCACAGGATCTCTACTAGGTCCAATCTTTCATTTGAGGTGCCGACCTCCAAAATCGGTGACTTCGAACACTAAATCGATGGGTCCTAAGAACAAAGTACGATCTCGCCGCGACAGTTCAACAAAGTCTGATCTCGCCGCGACAGTTCAACAAAGTCTGATCTCGCCGCGACAGTTCAACAAAGTCCGATCTCGCAGCGACCGTTCAACAAAGCCCGATCTCGCCGCGACCGTTCAACAGAGTTCGATCTCATAACCGGCGCGTTCCGAGTAAACGC